GAAATAACCATGAATCATGAATCATAATACTGTGAATATGACAACTCTTACTCTGGGCTAGGATATCCAAACAGTGTCTAAATCCTTTGTAGCACAGGACACGATTTCTATGTGACGGCTGAAACCTCTGTCTTACCAGATCAATCAATCGGTCCAGGACATCCTCGGTGGCTGGCTAGAGTCAGTCTGCCGTGAAGCGACGGAGATTTTCTCAACTTCGCAACTTAGAAGCAGTGATCCTGACCGCGGGAATCCGAAGCGAAGCAGTCAGCACACTTGTGGGGCCCAGAATGGAAACCTTTGAAATCAAACATAGATTAAGTTATAAGTTATAAGTTATAAGTTATAAGTAAAGTAGTCTGAGTCTGAATCTTCGGAATCCGAACGGCAAAATGCAGCCTGTTCTGGCCACCGGAAAACTACTTCTTGGCTTCTGCAGCGGATCGCTTCTTGCTTTGTCCACGCGGGGATGCGGAAGGCGGTGGCATCTTCATCTGGACCATGTTTTTGGACTCCTTCGAACATAAAAACGAGGCCATTATGTTTGGCGATGCGGTCTAGATAGCGCCTATCATTGCGGTGTTTATGTTGCTAGCTTAGATTGTAGGAAAGAACTTTCAACGAACCATACAGTTAGCGAGGCTATTCTATGCGACGACTTCTTATGACACAGACGATGACAGATATGATATGATATGATATATGATATATGATATTGACATGATAATAAAATATGAACCATATGATATCCTATGATGATATGATGTGACAAGTTGTGTGATAGACAATAAGTTATCAGTTTGTGAATTTACTTGTCTACAGTGGTCTACATCTTTCGAAGTCTCTCTGTTGACTGACATGTTTATTTACTCACAGACTCTACCTACTTCAATGACCAACCCCTGAAGCAATCACGACACGATCCTTGGCAGTCTTCTCCAGCTTGTCAACAAGCATCTTGGGCAACTTGTTCTTGGGAAGCTTGAGGGTGCTCAGGCAATACTGGAAGTACTGGCTGACTTGCTGGTGGGTGTCGGCTTTCACAGCCTGCGGATTGTACATCAGCTCCGAGCCCATGACATAGGCGATCACAGGGTAGAGGTTCACTGCCGTGGGCTCCTCGACAATGCACGCTTTCAACTTCTCATAGATCTCTGACAAGTCCTCATTCTGAAATACGGTTTCTTGAGACCACGTCTTGACGAGGTCAACCGTCTCTTCGAATTCACGCAGAGCTTGAGCACCTGCCCCAACAACGAGCATCCCGCACTATACACAACACGAAACCAACCTAAACCAACTACATAAGTTAAGCAGCTAAGTTCAGGCTATTTCAATCTGAAGTGAACCTGCCACCATGGTCTGCATCACCTGCTTGGCTTCTTCTTCACCCTGCAGGGTAAGGTTCGTGAGCACAGCCCGAATCTGGGGCTCGTTCCCGTCCTGCATGGCAGGCACAATGGCCTTGAGCTCACGGTAATCTCGCGTCAGCGGGGTCTTCTGATTCTGCATGGCATCATGCAGCTTGGCTAGGACTCGTATGGCCCGGGTACGGGCGGCATTCATCGTATCGAGAACATTCTTAAAGCCCAAGCTCTTCATCTCCTCCTGATTCACCGAATACACCTGGATGAGGTTCAGCATGATAGTCTTCACAGCTGCTTTGTCCACGAGGATCTCAGCATCCCCCTCGGTCGTTGCAGCTACCTCACCCAAGGCCTGCATCGACCGCCAGAAGTCGCTGGCTTTCGGGTCAAGAAGAGACAGCACCGATGTGTCTAGCGACTCAAGCTCCGTCTGCTTGCCGTTGCGCACCATGCACTTGAACCACCCAAGTTGCAAAGTTTTCCGCTCGTCGCCAGTTGCAATCTCCATCAACTGCTCGCCACACTGCAGCATCTTCCTGACCATGTTCTCGTCATCCGTAACACCCGGTCCTGTCGGAAGTTTAAAATAATACTGAGTTTCATTTCTT